CTGCTGCTGCTGCTTGCTGCTCGCCCACAATTTGGGTCTCTCCTGAGCTGCGGCAGGAAGCAGAAGACATCGTATCCATGTACTTTCCGAAACCAGGCAGCAGAAGTGCTGCTGCTGCTGCTGCTGCTGCTCCTGCTGCTGCTCCTGCTGCTGCTCCTGTTGCTGCTGCTGCTGCTGCAACAGAAGCAGAAAAGGCTGCAGCAACACCAGCAGCAACACCAGTAGAAGCAGCAGCAGCAACAACAGCAAAAACAGCAGAAGCAACAACACCAACAGAAGCAGCAGCAACAACGAAATCAACAGCAGCAGCAGCACCAGCACCAGCAGCAGCAGCACAGCCAGCAGCAGCAAAAGCAGCAAGTGCAGCCACAGATGCAGCACGAACTGCACCCACAGCAGCAGCCGCAGCAGCAGCAGCAAGCTTAAGATCTTCATTTCCTTCTTCGGGCTGCACTGATATTTGGGGGGCCCGGCGAAGCCCACAAACTCAACAAACAAACTCTAGCAGCAACAGCAGCAGCAGCAGCAGCAGCAGCAGCAGCAACAGCAGGAGCAGCAGCAGTTACATCAGCAGCAGCAGCAACAGCAGCAGGGAGGGTCTGCGGTTCTTCTTTACGGGTAAGAACAACAACAATAACAACAGCAGCAGCAGCAGCAGCAGCAGGTCCCGTTTGTCTCCTCATCATCATCAGCAGCAGCAGCAGCAGCAGCAGCAGCAGAAGCAGCAGCAGCAGCAGCAGCGTTTGCTGGGGGGAGAAGGAGACAGGCAGCTGAGAGTAGTGGAGGTAGATGACGCCTACACTTTCTCTGGGTGGGATGACGATGGCCACACAGCAGCAGCAGCAGCAGCAGCAGCAGCAGCAGCAGCAGCAGCAGGAAGAGCAACAACAAGAACAGCAGCAGCAGCAGCATCTCCGGCTGCTGCTGCATCATCTACACTGTATAACCCCTCATCAGAATCGGGATCATCAGCAGCAGCAGCAGCAGCAACAGCAGCAGCAGCAGCAGCAGCAGCAGCAGCAGCAGCAGCTAGTAAAGCTCCAAGCTTACATATAGATAAAGAAGATATAAACCTCCTCCGCAGCAGCAAATATGCTGCTGTTGCTCGCCGTATTCTATCTATCATCCACAGCGGCAGATTCGCACAAAACAATATACCCTGGGAGCAGATACAACACCACCCCACACACGATCCCAACAACCCCACACTCGATCCCAGACACCCCACACACGATCCCAGACACCCCACACTCGATCCCAACAACTCCAGACACCCCACACACGATCCCAGACACCCCACACTCGATCCCAGACACCCCACACACGATCCCAACAACCCCACACTCGATCCCAACAACCCCACACTCGATCCCAACCGGTGCAGA